CATTTATTTCAGTGGTTTTTTTCCCTCTGCTCATACTTTGGTAATTTCCTTGTCCATTAATGAAATGGAGGAGCAGTTGTGGCATTATTGCTCTCCTAACATCAGTCTTTCTGCCTTTGATCACATTTCTATTTTCCTTATACAAAAGAAAGCAGATTAAAACTACAAAAAATGTTTTGCTTGAATGACATTTTTCTCAGGGACTTTTAGCAGTTTGAGGCTGTGATGGAAAATTTTTGTCAGTGTTTTTTTCTTGTCTCATATGGACTGCTTACAGTAATTAGACAATGTGATTGATTGTAAATGGCAAGTAATTCATCTTACTTGGATGAAGACTAAATTTAGAAGTGGGCAGTAAAATGAAATAATGAACAGTAAAGTAAGCATTCTTCTTAGCAGTATTTTCTGTAGCTTTCTTAAACCAGGGTTTTAAAATACTGAATTACTGAGGGAAAAACCCTGGAGCAGGACTTAAGGTTCAGTGGAGGATCAGGAAGCATCTGCCTTCTGTGGGATCCCATGCATTAAAAGATGAATCTCTAAAATGGGAAATCTGATGTCTGTTCCCAATTTAAATCATGTGAAGTAAAATGAAGAGTGAGTTGTGCTCACTGGGATGTTACAGACCTTACCTGTTCATCTGCTTCCAGTGACTTCGTTGCAGCTGAAGGAGGAGATGCTGGATGGAGAGGAGTACAGCTTCCTGCAAGGAGCGTCTGACCAGGAGAGCAACGGATCTGCCAGCTTCTACATAAAGCAAGAACCATAATGCAGCATAAGGAAGCGAGGGGCGCAGGATTGGTGATAGGAAAGGAGCCTTTCTCCAAGTCTGACTGGTTTTGTTCCCGCTTTGATGGTGCAGCGTGGATGGCTGCACCGGGGGCACTTTGCTATCTGTAGATGAGCTACACTCGGTTCAGAATTTTTTGGAAGGACGGGGAAACTATTTTAGTGAAAAAAGATTTTTTCAATTTATTAAAAACGAGAACGGACACTTTTTGTGTTGCATTTGAAGCTTTTGCAAGAGTTTTGTAATATTTTCAAGTTCAGATCTATTGTGCATTGTTAACAAGAACTGAAAATCTAATTTTTTTGTAAGATTAGAGTTTAAATAGCACGATCGTGGGAAGCGTTGGAGGAAGATGTAGTTGCAAATACAAATGAACTGTCACCACAAATGAACCTTTTTGGTACAAATTGGGAGATACTTAAACTCTTGTGAACTGCACTGGTCACACCTCTGTTTGTTTGTTTTTAATTGTGAAGTAAGGCATTTGAGCCCTGATCTGGAGGCACAGATGGTATGAGGAGGATCGCCCTGTAGAGCTCTACTTGGTGAGTAGCCCCAGCTGCAATGGAGCCATCACCTGGGGAGATTTTTTAACTTTTCAATGTGTTTTTATTTAGTTTAAAATGCGTTTTTTTTATATGATGCTTTTTAAATTAAAATATATAGTTCCTTAGGGTCTGAACCAGTGCCCAGTGATATCAGTAGCCTTGTGTTCGTTGGCCGCAGTGGGCACTGGATTGGGACTGCAGCTCTCTTGTCTCCACGTGGATATCTGTTGTCTTGAAACGCTCCAGCAAATGTTTACAGAGCCCTATCTCTGCCAAACTGGAACTTCAGAGGATTCCCTGCTCTGGAAGATGAGAGATAACGATGGATTTAACCTAGACAGCAACCGAGGCCTCCCTTGGTGGTGGAAGGAACTTCTCTGTATTCTTCTGATTGTATCTTTCCATTCAGAAAGACCTCGTTTCCTTACCATCTGTAAAGCTTATTTCCGAACATTCAGAACTGATGTTCCCTGTGGTTTCGGTTGACCTAAAAGGAGCCAGATGTTCAGCTCTGCACAGCCTGCAGTGTTCCTTTCTTGCTGCAGTGTTGTGAGGTGGAAATTGAGACTTGAGAACGTTACACGGCTGGCACACAGCGTAGCACGTCACTCACCAGCTGGATGTTTGTTGCCTCGATCCTTGCGTCTTGCTTCAGATATCCCATTAATCCCACCTGCTTTCTGTCCAGATGTTTTAAAGGCAAAAGTTAAGCAGAAGGGTGCAAATGACTGACTAGTAGCGTAATACAAAGTATTCTCACGTGAGCCCTTAATTATTTGGATTTTCCTTCCTTGGTTTTAGACTTTGTATGTTTTTGTAGATGGCTTCATTGATGGAGTTGATGAGTGAAATTATCAATCACCCTGCAGAGCTGTGACTGGAAAAATGTGCATCAAGAGCTTTAGCTTTTACCAGTAAGGTTCATTAACTAAACTCTCAGGAATTAACTGCGTATGTTCTATAAGTGCTTCTGGATCTTAGTAGGTCCCCTTCAGAGCAGTACAGTGATTATTTGACTCTTAACCACAAGGTAGGGCTTAGAAAATTGGTGGTCGAAACAGTTAACTTCTGTGTTCCTGCAGCCTAAGAAATGCTTTAAGGACATCAACCCACAGAGCCCCAGGAGACCATTTCTGTATACTGTTGTCCAAACCTAAAAACAGAAAAAAGTGCATAGAAAGTTGAAAACCAGCAAGTTGATTCTTTTCTAAAATATTGCTCTAACTTTGGGTACAAAGTGTTGGTAATATGCACAGGTTTACCTCATTCTATGCAAGAGGGGTTAATTATGTAAAGTTTTGTATTTACTACTGGAATTAAAAAGAAACAAGCTGTCCTGTATAGCATAGGAATGTCTGGAATTTTCCCTTACCAGTAAAAATGTCCATAATGACCCCTTTTTAACAACAGCTTCGTACACGGACAGCACCTGGTTACTGGATTATAGGTATCTGTAACTTCAGGTGGTGACTCTTCGGCTCTCTGCAATAGCCATAGCAAAGGGACTTTCTCTTGTTTGGTAGGCTTCACATCCGTCCTCTCGGAGCCTGACCCTCATGGAGCATTTCTTCTGATCACCCTGAGTTGGAGGAGTAGGTTTAGAGACCATTGTTAATGACATTTTGAACCTTAATTTTATTATTTTTTTCCTATGCTCTTCATTTATGCTGCCATAAAATCCAGTTCTGCAAACATTGATTTGATTTGGTAAGTACATCGCTGTTGATTTTATTCATGTTTTTTGATGTGACAACTTCCAAATTGCCACTGGCAGCTGGAATGAGTTGGGCACATCCTTGCTTTCTTCTCTCATCAGCTGCTTTTCAGTACAGTAGAAAAACACGCATTAATTTGTTTCTTGATGTGAAATTTGGGCTATGATGGCAAGGGATGTTGCCAAGCCAGGAAACCTTGGGCTCCCATGCATTGCCCAGGTCAGAGCCTGGCTTCCCAGGCGTGGCCAACCTGTAGGCTTAGACTGCTGAGAGGCAAAGATGGCACTTTGAACGCATCTCCTGTGCTGGAGAAACGTAGGAATCGGGTTGGAAGTCTGTCGGTCTTTAAAGTGTTCTTTAAAAACAAGTTTCTTTGATCAAACACTACGTGTGTGAGCTGCCCTGCGTTCTGGTGTGCACGGGACTCAGTCGGAGTTGTGTTGAGGCAGGAGTGACGTTTGTGTCCGTACTCAGAAGATACCGGCGTTGTTAATTGTCAGCTGTGCTGGAATCTGTCCTAAGCAAAGCCGTCAGGGATTCGGGTCGTTGCCTCGGGAGGTTTCTGGACACCTGAGCAAATCCACGAGGTGTTCAGAGGATGTCTCTTCAGCTGTGGGTTGCAGGTCCCTGCTGGAACCCATGGCGTAGGCTTTGCTGTGCATGGAAGCATCAGCAGCAGAATGCTTCTGCTGTCCTTGGCTTTGCTCTGAGCAGCCTGGTGGGCGGAAGGCAGAGCAGTGTCCGATGCGGAGCTTTCGCTGGGGCAGGCTGGCAGCATTTGGCAAAGCAGGACGCCGTGCCGTGCAGCTCCCCTCTGTTGCTGGAACCCTCCTGGTGGTCTTTGAGTTCTGTCATTTGAACACAGCTCAAACCCTTTCCTTGCTGCACCTGAGGAAGCGAAGGCGGTTATCAACTCTTTGTTCTACGGATACTAACACGGGTTTCAGTGTTTGTTTGTTATTCTTGTTGTTTTATGTGATGTGAATACCCTCTCCTGTCAATATTTGTACAATGGTGCTAATATATTTGGTAACAATCCTTTATTGGGAAGGGATTTTTAAAAACTGTGATTTAAACTGAATTTTTCTTCCTTTTAATTTTCATATTTAAAGCCACAGCCATTTATACACATGGGCGTCAGCTCCGGCCCTGGGGAAACGTTGGGGCGGGAATGGAGGTGAAACAAATGGGGTTTTTACATCATTTCTGTATGTATTTGATATATAAATCAATATCTGTACAAATTTATCTTTTATTTTCTTGGTAACTTGTGTGGTCAATGAGAGAGTATTTAAGACTTTCTCATGCAATGTACATAAGTGGAAATAATGCTTTTGGAGAAATTAAATGTTACTTTCATTTTTATGAGACCGCAGATTTTCAGCATGGATGTGAAAAGCATTAAAATTATAACTTTGTGTACAAGATGAAAATAATTCACTAAATTTGCCTTTTTTACACAAAATAAAAACGTTACAAGTCAGTTCTTGAATGTCGTTTCCTTGAAGAGCTGCTCCTTGGCACAGAGCTGTACTGCAGCTCCTTCCTTCCCTCACAGTGCAGACCCAGGAGCTTCTTACAGCCCGGAGGTGCTGTGAGCGCTCAGCTGAGCAGCCTGCAGGCAGGGGGTAGGGAAGGTGTTTGTGGGAGCCATGCAGTGTCAGGTGGAGGCTTTATGCAGCGCAGGTTTTACTCCTGGCCTTAGGTTTCACAGCTGCTGTTAATAGCTGCACAGTGTGCTGGAAATTGCCACGGGGGAGCATCAGGTTTTCCTTCCAGTGCAGTTCTGTGCCAGGAGATGCAGCGTCCCTTCCCTCCCCATTCACCCAGGTGGAGAAGCTCGTATTGAAACACAGCTCTTCCTTCTGCAAGGAAAACCGAGCGTTCCTCACACCGCACTGAGTTCAGCACAACAGGTCTGTTCTAGAATGAACACACCGTAAGCAGTTCATTTATATTATCCATTTATTTTTGATGGTTCTGAAAAGTCGTCAAGATAACCGCTGTGCTAATTGCTCCCAGATCGTTAGCTGGAGTGAGATGAGTCAGAAGGCACAATTCATTGTGGAAACTGGCATCACTCATAGATCCAGTCATGTGCACACGATCTGTAGTCGATGAGCTCCGCTGGTTTGAACCAAAGGTTAATCTCTTTCTGGGCACTTTCTACAGAGTCGCTGCCATGGATGATGTTTCTGTGGACCAATGCAACGTTGTTTAATATAAAGAAAAAAACTCTACAAGTGGAAACGCCATACGGAAGAAGTGGGGATGAAGCACCTAAAGCTACAACCCTTATCCCGGGTACAGCACTTGCACAGTTCCCCATACGCTCTGCTCACTACACCCAGCAGGGTGGGGGCATGGGGCTATGCTACTGCAGCAGCCACTGCTTGATCTTACATGGAGCTCTGCCACGCAGATGAATTTTAAGAAGTTTTGTACCCAGCCATTGTCCTAAGTGGTTGTTATAGGCTGCAGCCTGCAAATAAAACCCCATCAGACCAGGTTAGCCACCAGCAGTTTGATTTCCCTACCCCTGCTAAGTGTGATCTCTATAGAGAAGCAGCTGAGCACCAACCTTCCCACTTGGATGCAGAAATCCCCACGGATGGTGCCGGGCTTCGAGTCCGCAGGGTTGGTTTCCCCCAGCATCACTCTGCCTGTTTTAACCACATTGAGCCCCTCCCACACCTACAGGGGAGAAAAGACAGCAAACCAACATCAGTCCATGCTTATGCAGAATTGCACACCTTGCGCAGTGACAGCTGGTCCAAGGTGAGGGCTTCACCACAAAACAGAAACCCCTTCAGGTGGGTTTCTGTGGGACAGTGACCCTCGCCTTCTCTCCTTTTTTTACCCCCAAACTTTAAGGGGTTTTTTTTGTGCAGAAAATAAGCTTGGGGGAATGTTAACACAGGGGAAGCATTTCAGCAGAAACTTTAAGCGCGCATCTTTCACAGATCTGAGGAAGCTTTCCCTCAGTACGAGCACCTACCATGGCCACAACGGGGCCGGAGTTCATGTACTTCACCAGGCCGGGGTAGAAGGGCCGATCCTTCAGGTCGATGTAATGCTGCTTGAGAAGGTCCTCAGAGGCCTGCGGGAGGACGAAGGGAGTATGTGAGTAGGGCAGCCCCCACCCCATCCCACCAAGGCGTCACCGCTGTAAGATTTAGCACCCGCAGCTGTTTTCAGCGCCCCGTAACGCCACCGGCACTGCAGCAGCCGCTCTCCTCGCGGGGTGGCGGTGGGGCACAGCGGTTCCGGCTCGGCTCCTCTCTCCCCCCCGCTGACCCCGCGGTGCCGCTCGCCGCTTCGGGCAGGTGGAGCGCCGACGGCCGCCCGGTTCGGCCGGGCCGCCGCTGCGCTACTCGACGTCGGGAGCGCGAAAGGCCGCCGGGACGGACTCGTGTCCCAGGGCCCGCGGGGGCGACGGAAAGAAAGCGCCGGGCACGGCCGGCAGTTCCGGCCTCGACTTACGTGCACGAACTTCATGGCCACCAGGCGGAAGCCCTTCTGCTCGAAGCGCTTGATGATTTCTCCCACCAGCCCCCGCTGCACGCCGTCGGGCTTGATGGCGATGAAGGTGCGCTCGCAGTTGGCAGCCATGGTGCTGCGGAACAAAAGCGCACAGCCTCAATCGGAGCCCCCCGGCTCAAGGTCGGCCCGCGGCCCCTCCGCCATTGCGCCGCACGGCCCACGTGGCGCCCGGCCCGCACTGCCCCGCACTGTCCCGCCCCGCTCCCATCCCGTCCCCCCCCGGGCCGATGCCCGCACAGAACCGCCCGCCCCGCTCGGATCCCCTCCCGCCGCGCCGACCCGACCCAGCGCCGCGCTCACCTCCCGCAGCTCCGCAGCCGCCGAAGAAAGAGGAGGAGGAGGAGGAGGAGGAGGAGGAGGGGGAGGCGGCCGTGCGCCGGAAGCCGCCCTGCGGGAGGGAGGGGCGGAGGGGAGGCTGCAATGCGGCCGTGCGCGGGGATTGGCGCTGCGGCTCCGCGGCCGGGGCAGCAGTTAGCGCTGCGCTCTGCGGTGAAAATGAGGGATGAAAAGCGGAGCTCGGGGATGGACAGCGCGGTAATAGCAGCGAATAGCAGCCGGGTGACAAAATGTTGGGTTTTTTCCCCCCATAGTGAGAAGCGAAGCGATGCAGGATATTTAGCTTCATCACGCACCTCGTGCAGCAACGCCTGTCGGCACGAGAGCCTGACGGCCTCACCCGCACTTTGGTACCTAATCTGTTCCCGCTTATTAGACTCATTAATTAATTAGCCCTAAGGCAGTGTGATGAAAATAACCCTTTATTTCACGTAAGAAAAGGCAAACATTTACTTTGGAGCATCTCCTCTGCGGTACTCAGCGCCTCCATGACCATAGAGAGATGATCTCAGTTCCATGGGGCTTCAGTATTTGAAATAATTGAGTGCTGTGGAGTGCAAACAACTACTGACACACGAGTGCTGCTTTTAAGGAATGCTACAAGAAACTCATTTATGGATAAATGAGCTGATAAATGGCATCGACATCCATGCAGTCAGTGAATGCTTGCTGGCTGATGCTCTCCCCAGCAGGAGCAGCCGTCCCTACTGAAAGATGCTCAGCATTATTGTGGACGGATTTCTTTACACGATTAAATAAAAAACAATTCTGGAGTCGCTTCTGAAACACCTCATCCCAAAGCAGGCTGTGCTGGACGTGCAGCCATCACAGGCAGAGCCATCACAGCTGTTAGCAGTTTGAGCAGCAAAGCAGACTCCATCCCATTTTTCCCCGTGTGCTTCCTGGCTGAAAGTGGATCACACTCATCCGTTCTCATATTAAATCTTCTTTTCACATAAAAAGGGGGTTTCAAAAAAGCCTGACCTATAATCCTTCCTTAAAACGCTACATAAATCCGGTGCATAAATAAAGAAAGCACGTCAATCTGGAGACAAGTTGTCATTTCACTGAGCTCTGCATGCAGGCACAGCACGTTTTGCAATGAGAAATAAAGAGGTTTCTTTTCCCGTAGCTACTTTGGCTCTGAGCGTCCCCGGGGCCCCCCCCCCCTCGCAGCGCCGCCCCGCGCAGCCCAGCAGCCCCGCGGCACCCCGCGCTGCCCCGCCCCGCCCCGCCCGCGCTCCTCTCTGCCTCCCTGCAGCTGCGAAGCGTTTCGTGAAGCCGCCTTCTGTGCTATTAACGAGGAACGTTTTGCTTCTCTACCATTTAATTTCACCTCTACCACCCGCATGAACATCCGAGACGCTTTTTAAAGCACGTTCCTATCTACAGCTCGGTAGTTTTCTAACCAAAGCAACAGCAACCACCGATCAGCGTTCACAGCGGAGCATGTGGCAGGTTTGTGAAGCAGGTTTGCAGGAGGTGGTGTGCAGGATGGAGCTAACTGGAGCACAGCCATGAGACCGAAGGCCGCCTCAGTTCTACTCGTAGATCCATTCGTGAGTGCAGCTCCTGTAGTCAACCAGTTCTTCAGGAGTGAACCACAGGTTGATCTCTGCCTCGGCGCTTTCTAGAGAATCGCTCCCATGTATGATGTTCCTAGGAAAAGATTGATACAAAAGCAATGTAATCTCCAACCTCAAAGCAAAGAACACTCCATCTTTAAGTGGTCTCCACTGCACGCAGAAGCTGTACGTAACGGTAAGGCAGCAGCAGGCACAGGGCAGGCTGTGCCAGCTTTGCTCAGCGCTTCTGTCACTGTGAGCACTGCAGCCTTCTCTCCATCTCTGGACGCTGCCACAGTGCCCCAGGGCGGGCAGCCTGCAGCACAGCTCTGCCTCGCCGTGACACCGCTGTGCTGCCCTATCTTCAGGTGCTATCAATGCTGTGCAGATATACCTTCCGACTTGCACACAGAGGTCGCCACGAATAGTGCCGGGCTTGGAATCCATGGGATTAGTTTCCCCCAGCATCACTCTTCCAGTCTTAATCACATTAAGACCCTCCCACACCTTGGGGAAAAAAAATGCATTAAGATGATAAAATCTTATCTGTAGACGAAGTAGAGTTAATAATGTGTTCCAGAACAACGCAGTGCTGTCCATCACTGCACAAGCCACCATCCTAACAGCAAGGCTTATTTTATCTCCAGTTTTTCTGAGATTCTCAGTACCCATCTGCAATGCTCATGGGAAGAGAATGACTTTGACTCTCAGGCTGTGAAGCACTCCTCCAGAAAAGCTTTCTGCTCACTGAGGATCTTGACATCCAGTTCAATTATTTCACAACCACATCATAAAGGAAAAAGCTCCTTCTAATAAAATCAGACTAAACAAGGTTTTCAAAGTTACTTTAACTTGAAAGTAATGTCTATTTCACCATGGGTTCTCTGCTTGATTAACACATGCTATTCCATAGTGGATTTTTCGTGCAGCTTTACTCTCTCACCTTTGGTTCTCAATTTCCCCTTGCCCTCTTCCTCAACACATTGTTTCAATTGTGAGAAAGACTATGGCAAAACATATATTTTTTTAAACTGACTTTGCAGTGCATCTTCCTGATTATGCTTCCTAACCTCATTATTTAAATCTAAGTTTCTAAAATCTCTGTTAAAGGTAAGCTAGTATCCAGTAGGTAACGCAGGCCTCTTTGTGAGGCAGCTGAGCGCCATGTTTTCCTCGGCTAAACGTCATTGGTAAGGACTCACCATAGCTACAACAGGCCCGGAGTGCATGTAGTGCACCAGGCCGTCATAGAACGGGCGGTCCTTGAGGTCGATGTAGTGCTCCCTCAGAAGGTCCTCAGAGGCCTGCATTAAAAAACAAATAATCAAAACCCCCCACAACAACAGAAAGCTTTCTGTAAGAGTGTGCTGCAATCACGTAGGTTAGCTGCAAACGCACACTTCGAAATCAGCATTTCTACTAAGTTCCTAGAACTGTTAGTAAATGTGGGTTTCAATTGTTGGCCTTAGCTATATCTGAACTTCCGAAGGTCTCCATTGCCAATGCAGGTAGCTTATGTGACCTGGCATTTGTTGAATATATCCAGAGATATCAATTGAGAATAGGGTGCACCTACAAGAATGTTCTCCTCAGACTAAGGACATCAAGTTACTAAAATTAGCGTGCTTAGCATGTCTAAAGCATTTAGCCAGAGCTGGCAACTGGAACTTCTCCAAAACACCCAAAGACTTATCAGAATTCCAGGTTTAACACTTCTGAGCACTCCTCTTTATCATTGCTGCTCTGTTTTCAGGTTGATATTCCTATTAAGAACACAAGAGAAGGACAGCTCACATGTGTCAGCTTCATGGCCACCAGCTTGAAACCCTTCTGCTCAAAGCGCCGGATGATTTCTCCCACCAGCCCCCGCTGCACGCCGTCAGGCTTGATGGCAATGAAGGTGCGCTCTGAGATGGAAGCCATGGTCCTGGCCAGGGGCAGCCACCGTCACGGGGTCAGCAGCAAGCACAGCCCCAGCCCCGGTCTGGTGTTCTGCTGCAATCATTAGACCTGAAGTTCTTACCTGGCGAGCTGTGCACATCGGCAGCACCTGAAGGTCGATCTGCACGATGGGCACAATGCTACAGAAGTAACTAGGCAACAGTAAGTTTGCAAAATACAGAACCGTGCAATTAGCAAACGCGAAGAGCAGAAGAGCTGTAAATAAAACAAAAACAAAGGACCACGGAGGGACTGCTGGCTGCGATTCAGGGCAAAATATCAATCCATAAACATCATTTTCATCTGTCAATGGCTGCTCTCCAGTTTCGGCGCACAGCTCGCTCAAGCACAGCACACACACGTGCACACACACCCGCACACAGGTAAACGCGCGAGCACAGCCAGACCCCGCCCAGCCCGGGCAGGCCCCGCTCCTCGTCCCGCTCCGCGCCGCTCCGTCTCACCTGCCGGCAGCCCCGCACGGCTCTGGCGCTGCCGCGGCCGTCCAGCCCGGCTTAACCCCGGGCCGCCCCCGGGCCATCCAGCCCGCACGGTTGCCATGGCGACGGCGCGGCCTCCCGCCAGCAGGGGGCGCTCGGCGCGTCGGGTCTGCAGGCAGCCCGCTGCTCCCGCGGCCGAAAGCAGCGCGTGGAGCGGCGCGGATGCTCGGGCTGTGCTCCGCGGGCCTGCCTGAAAGCGAACGGTTTTTCCGCTTACGTTCTGTTGATATATAGACCTTTTTTTTTTAGACATTTCACACTGCTGTTACAGCTCCTAACGCTGTAGTCCTCTCAAAGGCAGAGCAGTATTTAGAAACAGAAAAGATCCCCACGAACTGGCAAATACAGGCAAAGGCAGCAGCAGGCAGCCGCTTACAGCCCAGCTGCCGGGCGATAGACGGAGAGGGCTGCCATGGGGTGGGCAATGCAGGCGGCAGCTTCAGCCCAGCGCTGCATGTGGCCCCTGCCAAGCCTCGTACCCTCATTAAATAGGGGTCGTCTTCGGCACTTCTGAGCTAGTCCGTGGTGAGCAGCACACGTTGTTCATTATGTAGTGCATAAAACACCACAGAACTGTTATTCATGTACCACTGCCCTGCCCCAGGCAGCCCAGCCAAGCAGAGAGGTGAGAGAAAGGAGACTTCCAAGTGTTCAGTCAACAGAGTTCGAATGAATGAGTGAAATAACCATCACTGAGCCGCAGCTGTTCACTCACCTAAAACCAGGGCTTTTAAATAAGCCGGAGGTAACAGCCTGTGAACAGCTTCAACCTTCAGGAGTATCTGCACGCAGCTCCCAGCCTTGTTCTGTGCACAGCTCTGTGAAGATCTTGGCTGAAATCCTGCTTCCATACCACCCCAAATCTGGGAGTTCTCCCCCACCTTACATTTTGTGCTGTGCCCTGTTGCTCCCCCCTGCCAGCCTCCATTGACTGCCCTCCATTGAGCTTACTGCTATTGTCTGATTATTTCAGCCATAATCCTTCACCCGATTCTTGCTTGAACCCTGTGGTGCTTTAAGACAAAAAAGAGCTATAGAATTAATTTCTTCCTCT